CTCCATATCTCTTGCAAAAATCCTCCCCAATAGGGGGATTTTGAAGAGTCTCAAAAAGCATGGCCAAATGTAAACAAGACCCTCGATGAAACAATTCATCTCCATTTGGAGGAACATATGCTCTGGCTTTACTTTCCAAAACTAAAGAAGGTTGACCCCTCACTTCCATGTTACCTTTGATCGTCAGGCACTTTCGGATGATGTCCTCTGCTGTAACATTCAGACATGAATCCGGATGCACGAGGCCGGCCAGAATGTATGTGCCACCTGGTTTCAGGAGCAGCATTCCCAAATTTATGGCAGCACCCACACCACAAACCTCCAAACAAGAAGTAAGAAAACAAACTGGGCTGACTTTGTTTCTGTGTCTCTTTCTTGATTGAAACAAGGAAAGCTATCACCACAGTTACCAGTCACAATCTTTCAGTAAGTGGTCCATTTTGTTTATTAGAAGCTTGGTGGGGAGTCCAAAAAATAAACCTGATAATGTATATACATGTACATGTACCAATGCAGTGACAACAGAAGAGTTCAGATGCAAAATCAAAAAATCAATTTTCAACCTTTTGAGAAAATTGGCTTTAAAAATAGGGAGCACATACTGTAGCTTGGTACACTAGCGGGGACTGCCCATTCCATTGTGTCTCCAGACCTCTATAAAATTTTAAAGATATTGCTCAACCATGGAGGATATCTATGTCAAATTAGGCTTATGTGTAACAGAAAACTCACTAAACCAAAATTAAAATGATTTTTGCCATCTGACCAATTTTTAAAATGACGTTCAGAACCATATTTCCCAGGCTGGATAATTAAAAATGTCCTCATCCATCTAAAAATTGTCATTGAGGGCAGCATGTGAATCGGCCAGAATTATGGCGTGATATGTGGGAAAAGTTCCGGCGGGGTATTTTACAGTAACCATGCACGATGTTATAGGAAAACATGTCTCATCATGTCCTCCACAGATAATATCAATGTTGCTGGAAATCGCATTGTTGATGGCATCTGCATCCCTTATCCTTAAATTCGTACTAAAATTGGTTTGGCAAAACCACTTCAGTGCTGCTGATGTCGTTGACAAGATTATTCTTATCATAGGAGTGAAAAAAACAACGCATCATCAGGGTCGCTGTCAGAAAACACACCGATGCTGCGACTGGTAGGCTCAGAGCCCATCATTATTGTACACATGCTGTAAAGCAGCAAACAGTCATTGGTAATCCAACTCCCACATACATCAAACTTTATGGAATGGCAAAATGAAAATGGTGACTGTTGTTCTTCTTTTTGAGTTGGCCAGAACCTCCAACCGGCTAACGTTTTTTGTATTGAGTTTTAAACACAAAGTTTTGAGACTTTGTCTCTGTGATTTATACGGGTATACTCTATATTATAAGATATATGGCAGAAATATGCCATCCATTATTGCACTACATCTTTAATCTAAAAAGAATTAGGTCAAGTAAAAGCTTTGTGGTGGCACCATGCACAGATATCTCATTTGTGAGTATCTGTCGCTCTGCAAAGACCGGAGGGTACTCAATGTTTTGGACAGTATGCTCTGTGGTTGGGAGAGTGTCTTGACAACAGACAGAGCGTACTATCCAAAACGTTGAGTACCCTAGAGTTCACAAGAGATATCCCTGCATGGTGCTACCGCAAACCTTTTATTTAACTTGCTACCTTCACCATGAAAAGTTCCAAAGCTCATCAGAATTGAAGTCAATCAGAAACAATTGTTAAGCAAATAGGTTTTTACATTGGAATTTATCAGTTTTGAACCTGACATTCAACTGCAATTCAAACAGACATGTGCCTGCAGAAAAGGAGCAGTGTCCAACAAGGAAAGATTTACCTTCTGCTTCACAACACTGTCACAACAACATGTCACAAAAGCTTCCAGAATTGGCCATTCCAGCAGCAAATTCTAGCCAGAAACAAATAGCAACTAAACCGACACCTACAAGATATCTGTTTGGATACCAATGTACTGTACCTCAATCACGGCATCAACTGCACCATCTTGAAGTACTTCACTTTCTTTTCCTACAAAAATAAAACACAGTGAAGTGAAAAAGGGGTCTGATGTAAGTTTCAAAGATTATAGCTTGCATAAATTCTATTACAGTTTATGACAGCTGTAGTACTTCACCATGTAGAATTTCTTTCAAATACATGCAACACAATAGCAACACAGAGAAGCAAAATATTGAAAATTCTTCTCATAAATACCTACTTTTTTTAGTTACAGGGAACAGGGACAAACCACAGAATATATGTTGTACTAATCAGCCATGTCACAGGCCACATTTTTAAGCTGAGTCAAGTTCCATCTTCATTCCACATGGAAAGTACTTGAATAGCAGGATTCATGTAAATGTACATTGAAGGCAAATGTTCACTTCTAGAAAAAACTTAAAATGTAATATGCACTTATGATGAAATTAAGCCTATTTACTCAGAAGAAAGAACCATATGCGGTCAGCAATGTCGTGAACCTCTACAGACAAGATCTACTTTTTTCTGGTATATTTAACTTTTTCTTCGTCTTAATTTATGACATACCACTTTTGGCTATCTTTGACTTTAACAATAGGTAATTTGAGTTTTTGTTCATACACGTCCATTATTGTTTCTGAACATACAGTAGAAGCAGTGGACAAAAGTTCTAAATTTCTTCAGCTCTACATTAAATTAATTTAATTTGTTGAGACTTGTTTCATTTTATTCATTCACTGAAATGTAAAACTGAAGTTTTATAAAGGTTCATTAGGCTAAACTTGATGCTTGATCTCTCAATGCTTGCTCACACATAAAAAAAAGTGGCAGTAATGTCAGAAAATTGCATGAGTCTGAATAATATTAGTTCACACAGGGTTCAGGGAAAGGTTTTTGAAGGAATGTTTAATTTTAGCACTGACAAAAAAAAACAGTGAACTTACCGGATGGAATTGGGATCCCTCCAAAGAGTGGGACCATCTTTAACCTGTTAGCCTTGGGATCAGTGCAGTAAATCTGACCAAAGCCAGCATCATGTAACAATGCGCAGGCGTAGATTCCCAGCAGTCCAGCACCCTGATTGAAAGAGAAAAGCACATTCATGACTGATATTCGATTCTCATTTATCATTCGTTATTTTCAATTCATAAATGCTTGGGATAGTTTTTCTATTCCTATTGGCTGAAATGCATCACCTGACTGTGTATTAACATTTGATAATGCCTGTTGAGAAGTGATAATGCCCACTGCGTAATTCACACGCTAGTACATGGATACTAGAGAGTCACGAGTCTGTGTGCGTGCAATGCACGCGCACCAAGTTCATTGAAGGGGATTCTATTGGACAACTTTCAAAAGGAATATAAAAATAGAGGGAGCTGTTCGGGAAAATGAAAGTAAAGTGTAAAACAAAATCGTTGGAAATCCATCATACACTGTATGTTGAATTCTTTTAACTCTGTGAGTAAAAAGGTATTGATGAATGGGAATATATACAATGTACGTGCTGAACCGGTCTGAAACGCATGTTTGAAATTGGCCGAGCACATATTTATTCCTTTAATCTGCAATGAGTGAATATCTGCAGGGACACATGTACAAGTAACAATATTCCCTTTGAATCTGCGTTGTTTCCCTTTGAATCTGCGTTGTTCCACATAGAACCTTGCATATTCATCATTTTATGCTGGTGCTACTCAGAATCAGACTCAAAACAGATTCAACACAACTGTCAATGTGTATTAACTGTACATACATGTATCTGTAACCTCACGACATGAACCTCAAAAGGTTCGAGAAATCATTAACATTTTCAGACAAATATTTTTAGATGTATAAATGTACAGTATCCCAACATTCAAAGTAACATGCAAGAAAAAGGAGGTAGAGAAATGGCTCACGTACACTATACTGCCAACAGCTGCTTACGAGAACTTTAAGATTTTTAAGAAAAAAATTATTTGCTGCATGTTTCACATTCAAGCTACCATTTTTTTGTGATTGGAACAACTTCCAGCAATTTTGCCATCTTACATTCTGAAGGTGCCACAGATTTTCAAGAAAGATGTACATGTACACACATGTACATGTACTACCCACATTAAAGACGGCAATGGAGTTGGTTTTAAGGCTACATGCACACGTACTCTTTGGGGGGGGGAGTTAGTGAAGTGCAAGGTTTAATTATCACTTCCTGGACCTGAGGCACATGACAAGACAAAAATCATTTTTCAAGCAAACCCTGTTCTTCTTTTCATCAGGCACGTAGGAAGATGATTCTACCAGGGTGTGGGCAGTAAATGAAATCCCTTTGTAGGGAGGCCAATGCATGTGATTGTGAGCGCATAGTGCGAAACCTGTGTGGTGTGGGGTCGGCAAGTTTTTGTAAGGTTTTGTGCACTGTGGTGCATGATATATAAGCCTCACTGGAAGATTTCTTGAGCAATCGTTTTTTGAAATGTCAGCATTTCAAATTCATGTTTGACAGTTTAAAAAAAATAAGTAAATTATTGTAAGATTCGATGTAATAATTAAATTTTCAAAAAATGACATAATGTACATGTATCTTAAACTGGTCATTATGAAGGTGATGTTTTGTAAACTTGTAACAGGAAAAGTGTCTCACAGAAGCATAAAACATAACAAAATCAAGAACCCAAATTTGCCAACGGGAATGGTGGTCACCCTAAAATAAGTATTGGAAATTCTAAACACTCATAAATGGAGTTTTCCTTTTAAGAAAAAAAAAGGAAATTGTGCACAAACCAGCTGTGATATTAAAGCTTTGCCTTAGATGACATCACAAACTTGACGAAATGCACAAGCTTTAAATTTTTAAGTTTAAACTAGTATGGGGATATGTTTCAGTAAAACTTTTATTTACTTGAGGAAACCCCCAAAAGAGAGTGGTCATAGTGAAAACAATCATACTTTGCCTCAACTATCAAAACATTCAAAGAAAGAAACCTGTAGATATTTCAATTTTTGGATAAGAAGTGATGGCTCTGTCCCATTCACAGATGCTTTATGGATTGATTTTTGGAATAAACTTTGAAGGTTTTCAAAAAAACACACGTTTATTCGAGGGTGTGTTATTGTGGGATTTATTTCTACGTAGAGACTGTAGCAGAGCCGCAGGAGGGTAGAAATAATAGGAAGAAATTAAAATATTGTACATGTAGACATGGAGACCAGCTCCATCCAAATCTGTTGTCTAGAGCTAGATCTATGGCTTCGCTCCATAGGAAATACACAGAGACACCGAGAAAATACATGTAGACCTAGCCATGAGCTCTGGATGCCTGTTTCAGACATTGACATGGCCTGCGATGCAGTTCCTACATCTGTGCTTTTCATTATTAATAATGATTCAGCAGTGATAAAGATACACATTTATGCATTTAGGAATTTGCACATCAGCTCAGAGATTAATGTTAAGTCTACATGTACATGTACGATAGACAAAAACACACAATGCCAATGGACCACACTTTTTTTCATTACACACAAGCACATGTACATGTACATTAATTTCAATCAAACATAAATATGGGTGGAATAGAAAACTATTATTGTTACAAAGAAGCTGTATTAAAACATGCATGTACATGAGCAAAAGCAACATCTTATGGTTTTAGTAGAGAAATGGAAATAAATATATTGACACATCCATACATGAATATAAACATTTATCTGCAAGTTATACTACGGTGAACACTGCAACCAAACAACATTATCTCTGAAAAATGACAGTTGATCTGTGTCTTAAAAAATAAACTGCAAAGTCAATGCTACACGTGCATGTGATTTTGTTCATCTATCACACTGTCAGGAACAATGATACATGTACATCTACATGTAGGGTCAGTTTTTAAATGCAATCCCACCAATTTGGAGCTCATCAACCAACAAGTTATAACCTGAATTTCTTGTGACTGCAATCTAACCTGACAAGTTCCCTTTTTTTGTAGCAGTTCCCAATATCAATCAGGAACAGTTTAGTTTTCTTGTGATATTTTTCTTCTTCTTCCATCCTCCCTCATAAGCTTTGTACACTTTTTGTTCGCAAGGCCACTTTTGGAAACTAATCTGAATCTGATTACCTTCACTCTTGGAATACATATACATTGTGTAATAACCAAGATGTGCCTCAAAACTTGTCATCTTGATGACATCACCAGAAGCCACATGGCAGCACCACAGTTGCCATTTTAAAAGTCATCAATACACACCATGTATGAGTATGCATGCATCTCAGGATAAGTATATGTACCTGCAAGTCTGATAAGGCTGGACATTTGAACATATATACAAACCAAAATGCATTACCAGTAATTATGGCAGGGCATCATGATGACATTACCATGGAATTTCTTTTGAATTATAAGCTCTGAAGGTTTTGGGGATGAAGGTGGCTAATTTCATTTGAATTGTTTTTTCTTTTTTTATTTTTACAATTCCTTTTAATGTATCTTGAGAACAAAACAAGTCATTTTCAAAATTCCTTTTGCAAAACCTCAAACTAGATGTGCATGTTTTCTAAAATGTACTGTGATGTCGTCATGACGCACATGCAATTTTTCAGTTTTTATAAGGGAGCATCCAATTGTCACTAAGCTTGAAGGGTAGGTATTATAAGCATATGTCCCCAAGACGACAAGCTTAAAGTGACGTGGAAATGATATTCAAAAATGTAGTAATTTTTTAATATCCCTGTATCACATATTTTTCTTAAATCCATAAAACAAACAATATTAATATTCTTTCTGCCATAGATTTAGCATATCATAGACGTTTGCACTCATTCTTAAATGTTGTATTTCATGTGAATGCTTTTCCAAGACTCAAGTAAGAAAGCATGCAACCATCCGGAAACTTTGTTGGGAATGACATCACGATGACATTATCTGATTTTGTATGCATCTGCATATAGTATATTCATTTGGCATGTTTGGGGCTCATTTTCGAGTCATTTTAAGTCATTCAACTTCAAATTTTGCCCAGATGAAACTACATGTTTAAATGCCACCATATTTAGATTTCATTGAGTTACAGACCATCATTAATTTTAACCATTTTAGAATAGCTCTGTGGATGTCCAGTTACAACAATTATATCAAATTTTTTGTTTGTTTTGTGTTTTCTGATTTTTTTTTTAAACATGTTCATGTTGGTCATCTTCTAAGCACACATGCATTTTCGAGCTGAATTTGGAACCTTCATGAATTTACTAAAAATAGTTAAAGCTTGCTCATCAGATCCTCTGAACTTATGGTCTCATCTAAACTAAAGACGCAACCCTTCCCAATGTTATATTCCATCATATTCTGAAAATTCATCTAGATATACAATAACATGTACATTTTTGGAGGGGGGTTGGGGTTGTCACTTACATGTACATGTCGATGGATACACATTTTGAAAAACACTTCAACCAGGTACATGTATCATGTTAGTGTAGAGACAACAAACATGTCATTTGTAATTCATGCTCATGAGATAAGTGCTACTCTACACTGCAAAGACTGATTTCCTGTCTGATCTGTCAAGAATGGTTTTGCCAAGATACATGTACATGTACATGACAAATACCGGTAATTCCCATTCCCTGGTTTAAAACCAGTCTGAAGTTGGCAAATAATGTTCCAGGTATCTTTCCTCTCCTCCCTTTATTAAGCCACTTTTTTTTTCTTCCTAGCATGAGTACCTTTGTATTAGGTAGAAACAGTCAACAAGGAAGGGAGCAATGAGAGGTCATTTCCCAATAGCAAATGCAACAAATCTAATTGTACGCTGTACAAATATGTACATGTATCAAGTACAGTACAAGTTTGACATCCCCCATCCCCTTAAATCGTATTTACTTGCAAAATGTCTGAAGCACTAGCTGAATTCATCCTCTGTGTGCGTCACTGACACTTGTTTTCAAACCCCAATGCCTGTTATTACATGTAGTTTTCAGAGCATTTCTGTAGTCAGTTCCCAAGGTCACAGTCAAGGGTTTAAACTTACAAAAGGAATTCTTCTCATAGCTTTATTGTTTAGGCAGAGGAAGCTTCTCTAATCGATTCAAATGCAGTCTGTATAAAAGCAAACCTTTTATGATCAAAATTTCTTGAAGTGCACATTTCACTCAAATCCTCAAGGACGCTGTCATGGACATATTTCAAAGGATTTAAAAAAAAAAAACACTATTCCTTTTCAGAAAGAATTTTCACCAACATAACAGGAGCTGCCAGACTAGTGGTTTACTTAGGCTTGAGTACAGCAACTAAAAGCCAAAGGTTGTGCTCCAAAGAATGCTGAAAATCAACCTTCATCAACTTGTGAAGTAAGACAAACATAGTACAATTTCAAGATCTTGACAAATTCCACACCCTAGCTTCTTGATAAGTACACCTCAGTTCATCACGTCTGTGAGAAGCTCATAATGGAAACCCACAGCTGGGAAAGCTGTTACAAAACTTTGAAAAATCAAAGCCCAAAATGATGTTTTGCATTGGATTTTACAACATATTAGACAAGTTTTCTCCATACCTCTGACATATTGTATGTACCTGTACCTTGTTGGCTAACAAGATCTATTTTTTTTATGCCTTTAAGTCCATATCTGCCCCCATGCATTGTCTTTACCAACATTCCTGTTACAGCTCTCCCTGATCTGAGTCTTCTAACTCTGTTTACAAAGCTATCATTTACAGTACTTTTCGGATACAATGTTGGAAATATTATATGGTCTCAGACACAATAAAACATGAAATGCTGTCTGTTACAAATTGCTCCAAGAAGTTTCAATGAAGGTTTTTTGTAAAACACAGCAGAACAAGAGTGTGAATGGATATGCTGCATCAGCCTGCCAAAAGAAAATCTTGCTTTATTCGACTGCTAAAAATACAAGATCTGAGACTTTGAAATGCATGTGAAAATGGACAATACACACATGTTCATGCAAAGAAATATATCTACATGCAGTTCTGTGATTAAACTCGCAGATTTCTTTCTGAAACATGTACATGTAGTTTGGACCACATTGTTGTGTTCAGGTTGTCAAAGTTCACAAAGTGCCTCAAGTCACTGGGGGGCGGGGCACTGGCGCCTGGCACTTCTATGTCATTTCCACTAGTTTCAGTGGCAGGGACCAGTGTTTCATGCACGCATCTCCATGCATGCTTTTATCACACTCTGCATGCGATGAGTTTCTCCGTGTTTGGAGAACTTATGTAATGCTTACGAACAGCGCTTTATGTGGCTGTGCTGCACATAACCTGCATGCTTGCCTGACTATGTTTCCAAAAAGTCACTTTTGATATACAATCTGTGTACATGTACATGTATTATGGGCCAAAGGACAATTACATGCCAATTCAATTGCATAGTCATCTGGCAGCAAGCGTAAAGTGCAAAACCACATGTCAATTCACTTAAACAACCTTTAACCCTCCTCTCGGTCATAATTTTCACGGAAAGTCAAAATTCGATTCGCTGTCCCCTTATACATTTTGTAAACAGACTAGTTACCAACAGTCAAACCACAATTCTGGTTGGTAGCGGTACTATGATTGGTCAAATTCCATCAACAGACAAAAGCAGGTACATGTAATTGGTGGACAAGGGGCACAGGCTTATCAATCATTGACAGTCAAAGCACAGCTATACAAACATGTACGTGTACATGAAGCAAGTTATATCAGCAGTCACAGCAAGTCAATTATGCTTTATGTAGGCAAGTAACAGTTACATATAAAAAACAGTATATGTAACTGATTTTCACTGATAGAGCAACTTTGATCAGAATGGATGTTTGCACAGGAAGGTTCATCTATGGGGTTCATACTTTCTGAGCCATTAGTGGCATGCATTCACGTGAGCAAATGTTCTTGTGGCCAGAGACTTCGCTTCCCCGAGCTCACCTGAATGAGAACCGTACTCTGTGGGGCCCTTTTGTGCTCGATGCTCCCAACCGCATTCACCATGGTTGCCAAGGCGCAGTTGACAGGGGCAGCCATCTTGTCGGTGACACTGTCTGGGAGCTTGACGATGCGAGTGCCTTCATGCAGGATGATGTGGGAAGCATAGCAGCCGTTGAGGCCTGTCCGCCGGTGTATTGATGAATGGCCATACTATGCAGAAAACGGAACATTAACACTGGCAAGATGACAGGATGCTTTCTAAGTGACTTGTGCTTCCTGTACAATATTTGCACCCAGGCTTGAGAACTGAATAGAGAAGGTATTTTGCTTAACTCAGTCAATTCAGAGAATCACTTCAGAGTTGACTGATTCAAGCAATACAAGCCAACAAGGCATGTACAACACATGGGAAAAAATGCAGCATACATGTATGGCGTAAGAATTTTACTACTTTCAATGAATTTCATACAGATAAAAGCTCCTTGTAATTAAGCTGGCCTGTCCCATGCCATATTTCCTAGTAAAACGAACCATAAATGACTGAGAATATTTCTATCCCCCCGTGCAATATGTAATGTACCAAGTGAACCTTCTAAATCCAGTACAGACCTGCTACATGTACATGTACAAAAAATATGAAAAAAGTTGCTCTAGATTACTTTGTGTCCACTTTCACTCTACCTTGAACAGCTTGGCACACTTTTGAGTCAGTCCCTGTGTACATCTTTCACATTCACCGCAGCTGTCCATCACGGAGAACGTGATGCGGTCACCAGGTCCCAGGTTGCCATGGTTACGTCTCTCATCTTGGACAATTTCTGCTACTCCTTCATGCCCAAGGACGCTGGAAATCAACCCAGAGAAAACCTTTTATAACCAACCGGAAGTAACAACCCCAAGACATGTCCTCAATTGACAACATTTAGCATGTTCGGGGATGAAAATTTCAAACATGGAACAATTCTGATATGGATGTATAAACAGAATGATTAAAAACATTGAATCCATCATCTTGGAACACATACAGATGTATAAATTAATTCAGACAGATTATGGCAATAAACAAGTACCTTCCACTTGGTGTTAAACACATGTGTGTACACACGCTTAAGGATTGTTTTTAAGGGCTTTATAACACCTGTCATATTAAAAATAGAATGTACATGTACAACAAAAGCTTGACAAATGGATACAACTGGCAGAGAACCCATACAATTACATGTACATGTAACTTCCCTGGATGTTAAACATGATGTGCTGACCTGCACAACATTAGTCATTTAGTTTTGTTTAATCTAATCAAAGCATGTACATGTGGGATGCTCTTTAACTTCAATGGGTATGCCATGAAAAGAATACCCAATCTTCAGTTGTTACGATAGATCCCAAATATCTGTTCCTACATGTACATGAATACCAATTTGCCATCTGTCTGTCTTTTGTGTACTTACTAACCCTACCCACCTAGGCCCTTTTGCTAGGATACACCCACAATCCATCAAAATCCTCCAACATGTCCAACTGCCCAAAATTGGATACAGCCTCAGTACTCCAAAAACCTCTAATATTTCTGCATAATGTTCTGTAGAAGGGTGCCACTGCCTCAATCCTTCAAAATCCTTTGGCAATTCCTCTCACAATGTTGAGCCAGTGTTAGTGGTATTCTGGAGCAGTATGGAAGATTTCATAGTACTGCACAGTACATGTACACGTAGGCCTATAACGTGGGCAGGAATTTATGCATGGCTGAACATAAACAACACAAGGTCTAACTTAAACCTTGAGAGATGTACATGTACATGTATCCTTCGCAATCAGCGATGCAAATTTGCCAAGCAGCCTCAATCCTCCAAAACCACCTGAAGGATGTTGAAGGATTGAGAATGGTTAGGGTTAGCAAATGATGGGTGAAACAGAAGTCATAACAATTAGAGTTACATGTACATGTACACACCGTGGAGCCACATGCATAAAAGGGTACGTACAGTAAATGTTTTATGGAGAATGATCTTTGTCTATTCAAGCCAGGGAGGGGAGGGCAGGGAGTTTGTACATGTACAGTAAACACCAAAATTATTTATACCCCTTATAAATTTTAGATTTTTTGTGTTTTTCTAAAGAATGAAAGGTGGGCACATAATATTTGGGGCATAATTAAATACTTTTAGTTGTCAGGTATAAATGACTTAAAAGGCTTTGGTTTCACCTCATTTGCATAACAAAGAGAATACTACATTAATTAAATTCTGACATGCTCAGAATTATTCATACCAGAATTATTCATAGTTAATAGTCAATTGCAAAGCCCTTGTTCTTGATTACAGCGTCGAGGCGGTTTGTGTAGCTGTTTACTAGTGTATGGCACAGCTCCACGGGAATCTTGGCCCACTCTTCCTTGGGGAAGACCTCTAGCTCTTTCAGGTGTGAGGGCTTGTGGGCATGCACCTTGGTCTTTAGGGTTTTCCGAAGATTTTGATGGGATTCGGGTCTGGGCTTTTGGCTTGATCATGGTAGCACATCCACGTTGTTATCTTGGAACCATTTCTTGACTGCCATTGCAGTATGCATACGATCATTGTCCTGTTGGTAGGTCAAGTTGGGGCCGAGATGGAGATTTTCCTGCAGAATCTGGATGTGCATGTACTGTACCTTCTTCATAATTCCTTCTACTTTTACGAGATTGCCAGGCCCACTTCTAGGGAAACAACCCCGCAGCATGATGCTCCCACCTCCGAACTTCACGGTCGACACAGTGGTCTTTGGGTTGAATGCTTCACTTTTCTTGCACCAAACGAAGGAAACATCCCTGTGGCCAAAGAGCTCCATTTTCATCTTGTCTGACCATAGGACTGATGACCAAAAATGTTGATCCTTGTCTCAGTGCCCTCTAGCAAATGGGTGTCAAGCTTTTTGATGCCTGTGAGTGAGGAGAAGGGTCTTTCTTGGACGACGCCCATGTAGCCCTTCCTTGTGCAGTGAGCAGCAGATTGTCTGGGCTGAAACCTTGATGCCCATCTCACCAAGTTGTCCTGAAGTGCCTTAATTGTTGTTACTCTGGGCTTGGAAAGAGCTCCTTGGCACACTTTCCTAACCAGATGAGGTGACACCTTCGGCTTCTGTCCACGCTTGCCGATGTTTCTCACAGTATTGAACTTCTTGTACGTCTTGACGATGCAAATTTGTACTCTGAAGAGCTTGGAAATGGCTTTAAAGCCTTTTCCATTTTTGTGGGCATTCACAACACTCATGCTGGAATCCTCACTGAGTTCTGTAGTTTTCGCCATGTTCTCAACAACTGAGGAAGACTCCGCGATTGCACTCTAGAAGCAGAATATTGACAATGACATTCCACAAATCAATTGAAATAGATAACATTTTTACCATACATGTATTCCTATTTGCATTGTAGCATATAATAAAAACAACATGCAGAATCTCTGAATGTCTGGAGCATGTGCATTTTGGAGGAATGTGGCCAAATACCATGACATGCAGAATGGGATGAATAATTCTGAGCATGTCAGAATTTAATTAATGTAGTAATCTCTTTGTTAGGCAAATGAGGTGAAACCAAAGCCTTTAGTCATTTATACCTGACAGCTAAAAGTATTTAATTATGCCCCCCAAATATTATGTGCCCACCTTTTATTCTTTAGAAAAACACAAAAAAACCCTAAAATTTATAAGGGGTATGAATAATTTTGTTGTTAACTGTACATGTACCGTACATGTATGCATACATGCCCCAGTGCCTGACCTGGTGGGTGAATGTCACTCAGAGGGCGTGACTAATTTTCCGCTGAATGTGTACAATCCCTGCTCTGTATTAATGGAAGCACCTGAGCATGCATGAATGGTAAACGGTGCTGGCGGGTTCCAGCTCTGTCAGCCTTCATGCTTTGCTGTGAGCATGTCGTGGTGTGAATGGCAATAACCTGGGACCATATACATGTACATGTACTCGTACATGTACGTGCTATACACTGTAACATTTTCACATTTACATGTACCACTTGTGCCATGAGTCACTACAGACAGCTCAGGAGCCCCAGGTGAAGATGGACCACTAATTGCAATCTGAACGCAATTTATCTAGAGATCTGATCAAAGTGGCATGCTGATAAATGCCAATGAGCTCTTTCTTAATTGATAGTTACATGTACTTGACATACATGTACATGTGTACATGTTCAAACATACATTGTACATATGTTCAAAAATACACATGTACACGTTACCGGTACTTCATGTACATTGTACATAATGGTTTGAACTCAATTTCTGTTTACAATATGCCTGAATGTCCTTTTTTAAGATTAAAATTCCAAATCCCTCTCTTTTCGTCATTTGCCATCATTTTACATGCTTTTAGTCCATTTTTGTTCAAAATACATGTAAATGTGTAAAGACTCACAATGTACCTCCTTAAAGCTGACTCCTGCATGATTTTTCTACTACCTGTACACGTGAGGTGTACATAAGATGTTAAATGATGGGTTTTTTAATAATAAGTGTGCATATGAACCCTACTTAGCAAGTAATTAAAAAGGATTCTTGTTATTGAACCTACACTTTTTGACAAAACCACCCTGAAATTTAATGAGGAAACTTCGCCACACTATTATACATGTACATGTACATGTAGTTTGAATGAGGGGTGTGCATTTCCGGGTATTTTCAGATCCGGTTACCCATTTTTTGTCAACATCGGGTACCCGGCACAGGCCTAGTTTGAATGTAGTGCAAAAAAGGTTCACCTGACTTCTTAATGGACACAGCTGGTGCCCTTAAAATGTTTTTCACTTCACTTGAAACAAATGCCATCTAAGCTCTTTTGCTGCTATTTTTAACCAGTCAATTACATTAGCTGCACACATACAGTGTAAATCAAGTCCAAAAAAAATCCTACTTGTGTACCTACATGTACAATGTACATGTGTACCAGCCCTGTTTTAAGATGTCATATGCCATAAGAGGAAGCAATTCTATTTTTGGTCTTATAAAACATGAGCTTGAAATAGAACACTATGCTTTCTCCAATTATTTTACCAAACATGGCTGTGTGTACTCCCCACGGAACATGGATACATAGATTCATTCCTGATGAATTTGGCCTTTTTAAAGTTTCAATAATAGATAATGACATCACACCGAGGTAACACCACAGATTCTTGGTCATGTTTTGATCCTCAAATATAAACGTTTATTATTATGCCACATACATTTCCATATACTGTATGCATGCATATCCGAAATGTCCATCATTTCCACCATAAAATACACCTAACCCATATGTACATGTACATATGTATGCAAATACACACACATTGTGCTTTTTTCACAATACCTGCATTGTTATCCAGGTCATATACGTACAGGTAGTTTGTTTTAGCAGGTTGTTTGGCCCAGCTGCAACAGAATCATTACTTCCCACCCTACAAGGTCTACATGTATCCATTTGCTCTTGATCCTTGGAGAGGGAAAAAGAAATTAATTTCCATCGAAGCTGTTCTCTGCCTTTTGTGCCTTCAAAACCTCGTCTAAAAATGGACCTCTACTTAACTGTATGGGCAGTGTTTCACACGCAGATGGCAGGTACTTGCGCACAAACAAAATGGCTAAAAGGGAATGGCAATTACTGAGTGCCTTTCAAGTTACCGGGTAGCTGCGGCTACCAAGGGAATAATAATCAGATTTGGAGAAATTTTCTCTGCTGTCATTTTCTTTCTTATTCAATTTTTCTTTTGCCTGATTTACATGCAAGCTGTACTGGAAATCTTTGCAACATTCAGCACAAAAATGCTGTGCGCTGGAGTTGCCATTTCACTTTGTTACGTTTTTACG